TAAGTGTAGCAAACGGAAAAAAAAAAAGAGGCTAAATTGAGGTTCTGCTAAGTGCTAAAGAGTGCCTGTTTTTCATCATGCAGGCTAAAAGAGAACGCGCTGCGGTGCCGCGTCAAAAACAAACCCACAGTTACGCCGCTGGTGAGACTTCAGCGCGTACACAAAAAGCACTTTGTGGAGCGAAATCCGTGCAAGAGAATCATTTCAACTGTCACTGTTGATTCCTGCTCTAATGAAAGAGAGATTAAGCAGAGGAATGGATAATTGTTGCCTCTGCCTCTTGCGCTCACAGAGACGCCCACCCAGACGTTAGACCATACCAACCTATAATATAATGCTCAGCCAGCGTTTTGCTGGCTCCATCTTTATCGTTTTGTATGCCTCCTAATTTGTCAAATGCTCCCTTCTTTTTTTACTCAGTGTAAAATCTTTGCATGTTCTATCATTTAACAGAGCAGCAATATTCACAAGGTTCAAATATCTAGAAGGTCTTTTTATTTTTACACCCCGCCCCATTTTGTCACATCAAATCCACAAACTGAAATGAATCTCATTTGGATTTTATGTGACAAGCCAACACAAACTGGGCCATAAAAATTGTAAAGTGTTCTCAGAGAACACGAATCAGAGCAACAGGTTTAAGACTTATGCTTTAAAAACCAGGCCACCTTCCACTATTCTGCACAACTTTGTGTTCGGGGTAGCGTGTGTGCGTTTTCTAAAATCCTGCTACAACATATTAATGCTTGTGGCGGTAACTTGAGAAAATGTGAAACAGCTTTTGACTTTAGCTCAAGAATATTTTGAAAGCTCAGGAACTAGGCGATCCCAGCTGTTGCTTTTATTAGGATCTTATTGAAGCAACAAGTGGGACGACCTCAAAGTTGATCAAGTTTTAAAGCCAAGATTTTTCTTTTCTGTAATAAAGTTAACAGAAGAAATAATGGAACATCTTTTGCTTCACGTCGTAAACAAAGTCAAATAATCCTATAACTCTAGTCAAGATTATTGCAAATGATCAATACTGGTCGTGTAATGGCAGAAGTACGCCATCACAGGAGAATGTTAATAAAAAAAATAAAGTGCAGTGAAATCTTACAACAGGATCTGTAATCGTGGTTGGTATCGATTCCTCATCCTGAAACACAAACATGCGCTCACATGTGAATCAGAATGACCCGCTCCAGGTGTTACCTGCCTGTCGTAATGCGACTTTACGTTCTGTAAGGTGAGTGTTCAGGTGAACGCTGAACAAAATAAAATCGAGCTGATGTCTTACATCATGCAAACGCAACCCGGCTTATCTAACAGGGTCATAAATCTCCCGAGTGCAGACTCCTTGCCTCACAATGCGCGAAAGCCGTTTCATTCAGTAGCAATGCTCTCCTGTTTTCCTGCCAAGCTCACACAATTAAACTGGCCTCCAACAACAAGATAACTTCTGGTTCAATGACAAAACACACAAGCTCCCAGCAGTAGGGTTAGGTTAAGAAAACATTCTTGTCCTTTGTGTGCTTAAACCCTGCAGCAGTTTCTGAGATGAAAACACTGTCTCTAAAGAAAAGTGTTGCTTGTTCATTTTATCCTGCAATCAGCAGCCTGTGAATTTGTGAATCAAGGTGTTATTTTGGACTAAAGCACACACCTTAAAATATTATTGTTGGCTATGCTTAAAAACACTGAAATGATCTGGGGGGAAAGGCAGTCAATGAGAAACTCCTGTTTTGACCAGCATGTGGTAAAGTCATTGGTTTCTCTCCTGACTTGTGCCTCAGCTCTTATCCAAGCAGAGAATCGGAGTCTCTCTCTGGGAAGTTTGAGTTCAGCTTTCACTCGATTCCTGCGCCGATGTCTGGTATCTTATCCAGCTCACACACACACACACACACACACACACACACACACACACACACACACACACACACACACACACACACACACACACACACACACACACACACACACACACACACACACACACACAAAAAGTCAGGAGGTCTCTTTTCATTGGCCAGGTTTCCCTCAGTACGTCCCTTCCTCTCAAGCTCTCGAGCCAAACAAATAAACAAGGATCGCAGGTTTTCTGTCTGTTAATGCTGCAAGCTGAGAAGCCATCGTGAAGTCAATCAATACATGAAACATTTACATACAATAAGTCATTAGCAACATATATATTGTGATTGATTTGTGATAAACATCAGTAAATAATACGTCTGGCACAATATTCAACAATTTCACTGAACTCTGATCCAGAACCGCACAGCCTTCTGGGAGATGTAGGCAGAAGAAAGGGTTTAGTTGATCGAACTCTCACCGCCAGCAAAGCAAAGTTGGTGGCGTTAACTAACTCACTCACTCTTCGGTTACCTAGCAACTCACTCACTCTTCGGTTACCTAGCAACTCACTCACTCTTTGGTTACCTAGCAACTCACTCACTCATTCTTTGGTTTCCAAGCAACAGCCTGTTGAGTAACTGATGCTGCAGCAGGAAACCATTGATCCAACAGGAACGATCACATCACCAGTGTGGCAGCGTTTCAGATATTTAAGACAAAAAACTAATCAATAATTACCTGTAGTTGGTGTATGTGAAATTCTTGTATCATATTATGTTTCCAGCCATACTGTCCAGTGACGTATAGATATATTAATTTAAAAAAAGTCCACAAAGAATAAACTTTAGATTAAAATGAAGGCCAACAAAAAGTATTTTCACTCCTAGTTTTCTTCTATTTGTGCTTTTTTCACTTTAATATGGTTTAGATTAAACCAACTTTAATATCATAGAATGATGACTTCAATAAATAAAAAATGCATTTTATAAATTATGTTGAAATAAAGTATCCAAACCAACCCGGCTACATGTGAAAAAGCAAATTGCCCTGATACCTGATTCTAAGTCCAGCCTCCAATCTACAGTGAGAACAGTGATAACTGGCACTTTTTAATCACTGGGGAAATTTTCTCAACATTTCATTTCTTTCATCCAATCTGGAGGGTTTTCTGGTTTCAACCACACCTATGTGTCTCAGTTGGATTTATGTCCAGGTTTTGCGTAGGCCTCTCCAGAACCTTTACTATTTTTTGTGCTATTCAGAGTTGGATATGCTGGTATGGTATGCTTAAGACTACTGGATACTCTCCCTCAGTATTTTTATATTACAAAACAGAACAAGAAATTAAATCAATATCTGGTCTCTCCAAACATTCCTCTTACTGTTTGCCTACCAGAACTGGCTGCAGTGTGTAAGCTGCATGAACGACAGATTTAAAATCAATGTTTTAACTTCCCTTACAGTTTCTCTGAGTGGTGTGACTGACTTTGTCCTCAGACTATTACACTGACAGCTGCTCCATTAGCTCCATCATGCAGTTAGACCAACACAATAGGCACAATAGAAAGTGATTATGTGAAAAAAGCAGGAATTAGCTCCCTTCATTCACTGGTGCTAGTTTTTACTCAAAGAAGTGTCGAATTACATTCATTACGTCAGAATATGCTTTTCACATAGAATCATTTGTCAGAGTCAAACAAGCTTTAAGGGTGGATTATATATGCTTTGTGTTAAGCCCACATTTCTGGGTTAAAAAGCTTTCTTAAGTGGTCTGACGCAATATTCTACCATTGAATGTCGTGTTTACATAGCTATGAGCAGAAAATGGTTATATTTAACAGAAAATATCTCAAAAACAGTCAGTGTAGTTAACATATTGAAAGTATTCAACTTGGTGAACTAAATTACTGAAATAAATGAAGTTTTCAATCATAGTCTAGTTTATGAAATTTGTCTATAGGCTGTTTCAGTGCAACAATCTTTCAGAAAATTGCTGACTTTTTTGTCTCTCTAATCATAATCTTGTAAGAAACAAACAAACAAACAAACAAACAAACAAACAAACAGCCACTCTGATGAAATGCAGACAGGCCGGGGATGCCACAGAGCGCTTTTAAATCCCAGGGTTGAGTGCTGGTCTGTTAGGTTGTGTTTCTGTCAGACACCACATTCTTCCCCCCATCTTCCTCTCCATCTCTGAAACATATAACTCTTGCCCTTATTAACTGAAAGTGGGAGACTGTTAAAGCCTTATTGTATTGGACAGCCATTGTGTTACGCATCACCACCCAGGGATGGTGTTCTTCATGTAGGGTCATCAATCTTCACCGTCATTAAGCCAAGCTGATGTATTGTACTTGTGTTCTTTCCCAACTTTTTACATACAAAATATATATTGCGAGCATAAGGACACATGTCCTTAAGATGAATGTAACTAACTCAAACAAAAACATCCTGTTTATACTGAGTGTTCTCTAGCGGCTGACTGAGAAGAAGCCTGCAGACGACGTGCCGCACCACAAGCAGGATCTGATTGAACTGATAAGCCTCAGATTGGTGACAGTCGGCCACTGTTCATAAGCGCGGTGTTGCAGAAACATGACCTTTGGTTAATGGCGGTGCTGCTGTTTTCATTAAGCAAGGAAACAATGTAATGGGGCAGAAGATGGGAGGGCTACGCTAATTTCTTCGACATCGGAGGCTGATTGTTTTAGTTTGTTATGGAAAGAGAACACAAGTATTTAAGCCAATAAGAAAAAAACCCCCTGAACATCCTGGCCTTATTATCTGTGAAAAAATAAACAGATAAGACTTTCTGTTGCGCCGAGTTTGTCACGTAACTAAGTCGGATGTTGTGCCTTGTCCAAAGTATGCAGTCATAATATAACTCCCGTGAATTATTAATCCCATATTTAATGGGGCAGCTGTAAACGTAGCTTTACGCACGAGGTCATTTTCTTAATCTCTAACTTTCTCAGATGTGACCTCCTGAATCCACACAAAAGGTTCCTAAAAATGTCCATATCTATACAAATCAGAGCTAAATAAACGGTTTATCGAAACTCGATTGTTTCTAAATAAATTCCATTGTGCTTTACAAACATATTCTCCATCACCACAGATAAATGCTGCTTACAGCATCACAGACACAACAAAATAATTACCTGGCTTTGTCAGTCTTCTCCTCAATATTGTCAGCTCTGGAAGCACAGAGTTATCAAGTCACAACGTTTTCTTTACATGTATGCAATCATAAGCAGCAATCTGGAGCGCATGCAGGGACAAATAGGCCAAACTGCCAGAGACGAGATTCATAGCAAGGTGACCATCAGCAGCAGCTGGGCAGAGGTTCAAATGTATGATTCAGGTAGAAAATGTATGTTTTTGTTAAAACTCAACAGAAAAGGTTAAAGTTCCTCCTGAAAGGTTGACCACAGTCTTGACTAAAAGGGATAAAGCTACATGCTTCAGCTTTAAAAAAGTACTTGACAATTTAAAGGGATAGTTTAGATTTTTTTTCCCCCTCCAAACGCTTTTTGGTATAATTACTAGCAATAACACTTTACTTAATTGTACCGGAGAAATGTTAAATTGCAGTGAGATTGTAGAAATTAGAATAAAACCCTTCAGGTGGTGGAATATGCCAACAACTAATCAGTGCCACATGAGTTCAGTAAACAGGGGAGTTTACTTTGCATTTCCCAACAGGCTGTCATCTGCGTATCAAGGCCACATGTACTGCTATGCTTTTCCAGCAGTCATCATTATTCTCAAGAAATTTCATTAGACTCAAGATCAAGTGATCAAGCAATTCAATGTCTCCCTCAAAATAACATCACAGAATTTCAACACAGTTGATCCAGACGTCATAAATTTGTTTGCGCTCTCACTTGGTGTCGCTTCTCTCTTAGTTGCCCCATCATTTAGTCATGGCGCCTCTTTGCGCCGGCTCAGCAGTAACATACACAGCCATGATGTCTGCAAGCGTGGAGGAGTTTAGGACATGTTTGTTTGTGATACGTCATTGTTACTGAGTAATTGTTCTTTCAAACCTTATTTTTTAACATTTTCAGGAAAGAATAGTCTAGCAAAGCCAAGACAGGACTATCACTGTCTGGAAGGAGAGAGTTAATTAAGGTTCCAAGTATCCATTCAGTACATTAAAAGTTACACAAGCTGAAAAAATGATTACCTTTCTATGGCTGTATGAAATCATTATTGATGGTGACTCCATAGAGCTGATCTTTAAAAACATCTGAACTATTCCTTTAAAGTCGTCAGGTTTTCTCTTCCATCTTGCATGGAGCAGAACAATATTTATCACAGAATGTACTAAGAGGAAATCAACAATGTCTCACTTGCCAGCAAATCAAAAGAAAAATCCTATGATGTCTGGAAAACAAACATAGACTAACTACTTTAATGAATAACTTCAAACCAGAAAAGAACTAATCTGCAAATATTCAAGCATGTATCAGCGAGGCATCCGGAAAGCCTGAGGGATTAAAAGGCTAACCACATAATGGTTTATTCTGAATGTGGAGTTTGGTTGCACATCAGACCTCTCTTCCTCACGTCTTTCCTTTGCTCCTTATTGTCCTCAGTTTATTCACTTTAAAGGTGTGGTAGGATGGTTAAGATGAGGCCTGATTACTACAGAAAGAAAACCATTTACTGCTCAGCTCTTCTAAAATGACAGCGACACTCTACCTCAGGAATAAACAACACAATAGCCGTATCCTGGGACGGGCATGCACAGCCAGGTCACCAGGATACAATGGGAGCCATCCAGAAAAAGCACAGAGATCTGTTACAGACACAAGCTGCGTTTCCACTGACATTAAACTTGCACAAACTGGAATTACAAAAACAAATTCGCTTAATGGCAACAAGGAAATTTTGAAAAATAAATAAATAAAATAGATTAAAAAAGTCCTTGTGCTATGATAAGGTAGTTTATTGGCCGTATTGAAGTTAGTGCATTTTGCAAAACTGCAATGGAAACACTTTTGTGACATCACACAGGTCATGTGATCAACACCCGGATGTTACCACCGGCGGAAAAGATGAAGAAGACAACAGGAAGTGGGAGGAGGATGGTGGCTTGCCATGGTTTTTAATGACCTGTCAGGTGAACAAACTTATTCACGTGTGATTTTAAATGCTTTTCTTATTTAATAGAAACACAGTAACTGTTTTTTTCCACCATTAATAGGATATTGACAAACGTTTGTGCAAATTTGTAATGGAAACGCAGCAACTGACGCCAACATAAAGATAATGTTTTTCTTCTCCTAAAGGTCTGGGATTTCCCCCTGTTGACTCTTTTCACAAAACAGAGAGCCAACACCATCGTTTCCCCCTCAGACAGTCCTCCCAGTCAGACTCTCCTCTGGGACGCAGCCATACGAGGAATGACAAGTACTCACAGCTTTGGTTTTGGCTTGGTAGGGATCGGAGGACCATCTTTCCCGGGGGATGGAGACAGCTTGCCGTGGCTCGGAGGAGAGTCTCGTAAGATGTGGGCTTGACTTGAGGGCGTGACCTGGATGTCTGCTGCTGCTGGTTCTGACAGTGCCAGAGGAGGAGGTGGTGGTGGGAATTGGGTGTCTTTAGGTAAGCTTGGAGGTGACGGTGGGTGTTGGCCGTTCTGGAGAGGCTCCTGCTCTCTCTCCTTGTCCCCGTCTTCTACCTCTGAGCTAATTTGCACCAGAGGCGGAACGGACGCACTGGGCCACATCTCCAGCTCTTTGACAGGGAAAGCGTCTAAACCGGGCTGAGGCAGCGCCTTGGGCGGCACCTCCAGGAGGCTGATCTCGGTGGGTGGTGGCGAAGGAGGAGGCGGAGGAGGGAAGGAGGCCGCATCCTCAAATCCTGAACTATCGCCAGACATGCCATTACTTGATGAGTCCTCAGCTGCTGGGGGAAGCAAACGGTGGAAAGTGTTTTGTTTTGTCTCACTTTGATATTTAGTTCTCTCAGGACCAGCACATACCGATACTGAGTGGAAATTGAACACAAACACAGTGAATCACAACTAGTCTGAAATGGGGCGACAGCTGGGTCCAGTCAGGCTGATGCAATTCCTGTTTATTCAGCCTTTCCTTTACACAGAGTGGTGAATCCTGTATGGTACTAACAGCTCTGTCAATGATAATGTACACAGAAATAGTACAAAATCTTTTCTCTATACAGACTTCACATAATTAAGTCAGAGGAAATGGTCACTAAGATACGTGTTGAGAATATGAGTAAACACAACCAGACTGTAAACCAGAAAATGGGACTGAAGTTAAAGGAAAGAAGACAAATTTGAGTTTTTTATTTTCTCTCTGTTTAATTTCACTGTACTTTACCTTGCAAATTAATTAAATTTTCTACAGTTTCATTGTGGTTTAGAATCAATAATAAAAACAAATACTACATCTCAAGTTTGAGCAGCTCTTTGATTGCGCGCTGGACGCACCTGGATTCACGGTCAGCTGGGCCGTGCTGCTGACAGAGCCCAAAGCGTTAGACGCCTTACAGAAGAACAGACCTCCATCCTCTGGAAAAGCCTCGGCGATCACCAAGGTGCAGATCTCCTCTGAAATAAATCGTCACCGCCACAAGTACATTTGTTTGTAATGAGGTCAGAGAAATACAACAAGACAACGACCAAGTGACACACAGAAATGACAAGGATGATGGTTATCTCAGGCAGACTGATGAGTCAGACGAACAGGGAGCGTAGAAGACAAGCTAGCAGACAGACACACAGATGTTTGGGGATGTCTCTCTGACTCACAGCCCGTATTACACATGGAATCACACAGGTGGGAAATCTGTGATTTAACGTTATTAATAGATGGGACTTCCTTTTGACTGCATCGATATGATGTCATAACGAAATCAAGATCAAGTCCCCAGACAAAGCAGCCAGTCCATTACTTATTTAACCTTGACGTGTTAAACATGCATGTAGCTGCAAGCGCCTGAGGCAACATACCTGACTCAGCTGCAGACCGAGGCTCTGATGTGTTCAGTCAGCGCAGGAGAGGAGGGGGGGGAAAGAAAAACTATCAGTCAGCACACGTCTGAAAGTTTCTGAGCTTTGTCAAGCTTGGGAACGTCTCACTTTTTTGTAGAATCCTGAAATCGGGGGAGTCCAGAATCTCGTTCCCTTGCCGGTACCATTGGACCTGGAGGGGAGGGTTTCCACGGACCCTGCACTCCAGAACCACCACCTGGCCCTCCGACGCCTGGACGTCCTGCAGGAGCTGCAGGGGAGGAGGCCACAGTCAAAGACGGGAAAGGGAGAGGCAATAAGATACTGATGAGTGAAGGATGAAGAGCACATCTCCTCTAATTAAGATAGAGGAGAAACATGACAGAGGGAGAATGAGGGCTATAAAACTCAAAAAATTTTAATTGAAGCCACTCAAAACAAAAAAAAAAACACCCACTATTATATAACTCCCCTCCTGTTGGACATTACAGTCCATCTAGAAGTTTTTGAGAACCATCCACATTTTTCTCATCATGTCCTTTGCTTGTTCCAGGAATATTGTCACCACACATTTTCCACAATGACAAAGCAAAAGCAGGTGTTTGGAAGTTTTTGTTAATCTGTTACATAAATATAGAAATTCAGATGCTTTTGTTAGGCTTTGATGAAACCCGGACGTCGTTTTGGGGAATGAACCTGCATGCTTGATGTGAATTTTGTAATCTTTTGCTTCCCCGTTACTTTAGACGTGAACAGTCAAGATTAAGCAGATTAGGGAAGTCTTTTTAAGTCTCTCCAGAGATGCTCTGTGGTTCAGCAACTTTTTTTTAAAAGCTTTTGTAAGTTTTCAGCGGACTAAATGTTTGCTTGACACGCAAAGCCAACAATGTACGTTTGGGAATCTATCCCTCTTTGAGAGGGGCAGAGGAAAGTCTAAACATAATCCAAGTTTAAAGTGTGAAGGAAATCATTAGCCACGGTTTCCTGCTCGTTTCTTGTAAGAAACTCCTTACTGCCATGATGTGGCGTGGTGGACCCAAAAGCAGCAGGTAAAGATGTGGTGCAGTTTAGAAAATTTAATTAACAAAACCAGAGTCCAACTTACAAAAAATGAACATCTATGGAAAACGCAAAAACAAACCAAATCCAAAACTGAGACGCAAATAGAACAGTCAATAAATTGGAATGAGATCATTTCTCATAACAAAGGGGGTCGTAAAAATCGGCTATAGGAAAACAGGAAACTCCAACATCGGAAAGCCGGTTCTTGAGGGGCTTTGTAAAGTATTCAGTCCTCTTTGACGTTATAACATTTTATCACATCACGTGTATTTTTAATATATTTTATTAAGATCTTATGGACCAACAGAGACTAATGCATAGCTTTGAAGTTCAGAGAAAATTATACATGTGCATTGACATTAAACATTTGCACATCTAGAGACTGAAACTTATCAGATGAAGAGCATTTATAAATGTCAGTTTTCAACTTTTCCCAATTAAATTATGGTCAGGACTTTGACTGGGCCATTTAATCATATGAATATAAATCTGGCTGTATGTTTTGGTTCATTGTACAAAACATACAACCTCAATCCAGTATTAATTTTCTGCGACTTCTAAGTTTTTTTTTCTAGGCTAGTCAATTAATTCTGACACAGTTCCTCATCTTCATTAAAAAACAAAACATGCATGCCACACTTTTAAATATATTTTTTTTTAGGTTGACGTGAATTGTCTTCAACCCACTTCACATTTGTGTGCTACATTACCTTGTCTCTGTCTGTTGCATAAAATCCTCATAAAATGCATAGTTTGTGAGAAAATGATGAAAAAATCAAGTGTTCTTTCACAAGTACTCTCAATCTAAAAACCTACATAAAGTCGGACAAACACACGAACTGCAACGTGAAACACCTGAACCTGGGAACTTCTCATTCTGCGCTTTCAGCACGGACACGTTCAAAAGAAGGTTCACAGGAGAAATATGCTTCATGGGTCAGTGGGGAGGGCTGCTGACCAACGGGGGAATGTCGTGATTAAAGTCTGGCAGCGGTTTGAAAGGAGTTCGATGTGGGGGTGAAGGAAAAACAAATGTCCTTTACTAATGAAGTGTGAAATGATTTAGGGCCTGACAGGCTGAATGAAAGTGAAGGGGACCTGACCCTTATGGGCTTGGCAGGACCGTTTGAAGCTTTGCCTCAGCCAATCTCAGTTCGGCTATCATAAGACCCGCAGCCTGGGAGAGGAGGAGGAACGGGAGGGGAGAGTCTGAACCAGAAAAGTCTCTGTTTCATTGGACCCCCACCGGTGGAAGCCACAGCAGTTATTATGAGATGTCTGAGGACATTTATGGATGCATCTGTGGATGGATTGCCTGGACGATGTGAATGGAGGAGTCCTTTCATGGTTAAGGTTATATTGTAGTCACACAGTTTAATTTAAAGGGGCAATATTATGTATTTTCCATCCACATAGTGCCACAAATAACTCACTAAGTTACCTTCATTTTTGTAAAAATGCTATACAAATCAAATATGACTCAAAAGAAATTTCAATTCGTATCTTAATTTCAAATTGGGCCTCTGGCTCTTTAAAAACTCCTGCTCTTTATAAAGCGCCACCTTCAGGACGTTCATCGCAACATAGCTTCTCTACTAAACTTTACCGTTGTTATTACCAACATTGCACTGAGAAGTGTGCAGTTCCGACAGATGTTTGCTAATTGCTGCTGGCTAGTCTGAAGGAGCTGGGGCATTTTGTACAGCTGAATGGTTACCATGAGAGATTAAAGGATTTCTCAAACATGCATGAAAGAATTAAGGCAACACTCCAGGTTTGTTTTTGATGAGAGAATAAATCTTAGGAGAAATCTCATTGATTAAGGGCAGACGAATACAAATGCATGCCACACTTTTCGGGTTTTTGTAAAAAAAAAACAAAAAAAACATGTTTTCTGTTCTTTCCACTTTACAAGCAATTGCTTTGTGTTGTGTATTTATGGCACAAAATCCTTATAAAACACAGTAAAGTTTGGGGTTACAGGACTTTATATTTATTCATGCGTACCTTTGTGAACAGTGGAGGGCCTGACGACTCACCACCATGCAGTGCAGACATGGGGCTCTGCATCTAGAAGACAACACACACACATGAGAGAGAGAAAGATTTTTTTTTGTATCTTTGAAGATTGCAATGGCGGCTGGTTTTGGACGTACCCGCTGTGGGGGCTGAGACATGGACTGGACCAGAGCTGAGCGATGAGGAAGCATCTCTGGGGTTTTGGGTGATGATGAGCGTATCGTTAAGGACATGGAAGTAGTCTTTTTCTGCGCTCTGTAAGACAGAGAAGGAAGGAACACTTGAAGGAAACGCAAACAAAATTTAGCCAAGAATCCAGGGGAACGATCAAAACATTTGGAGTAAAGTGATTTTGCTCTGCCGGACTGGAAGAAATACATTCTTATCAAGATGCTTAATTTTGGTTTTTAAAAGAAGGTCGTATGAAGCAGCTTGAGCTTCAAGAAATGGAAGAAACACACATGTAGGCAGTGAAGTGCAGACGAGAGGTTGAAGTCTGGAGGCATGACATGGTGATTCTTTTTCATATTAACCTCCTTGGACCTTTTATTAGAGGAATGCGTCCCACGTTCTGGGTCAGGCTTAAGGCTCTTTAAAGGCCTGGATAAGGAGAAGCAGACAGCAGACTACTGGCTGCTGCAGGGCTCGGTTGACCCTTCCTGGGGTTCGGCGTTCACCGTGGGGTCGTGAGGTCACAAGACGCGGTGCAGAAACGCACGTACTGAGGCATGGCTCCTGATCTTGACTTTGACGGCGTTCCTTCTCCCTCTGAGTCCGATGATGTAGCCCCTGTGAGTGGATGAAAACAAAAGCAGAGGCCAGTTTTGTAACTTCATATAGAACCTTTAAATAACTTGCAGATCTTTGTTGTTATCAAAGGACACAAGGACACAAACAATTTGCTGCATATTCCATGTATAATTTGTCAAACTGGTCTTATTTAATTTTCTTTCTTTTGTGCAGCGATGTCAGACTCATTTTCATTTTGGGCCAAATCAACATAAAGTGTTAAAACCTTGTTGACAACCTGTTAAAATCTCAATGAATTCTTGAAATTAAATAATATTATTGAACATATTTTCACTCCCTCCAGGATTCTTTTTGTGTGTTTTTGTTTTACAATTAACATCAGAGCATTTGTGGTACTAATTTGGAAATATTTGCACATATTTATGACACTTTAGGATTATGTTACAGAGCCATTCAGTAATAATTATGTCAGGTTCATGTGTGAAAACTTCCCCCAGCAGCTGTGAATATTCACATGAGAGCAGCAGCTTGAATGCCTGACCTTCAATGTAAACCTCGGCGGAGGTGTTATCTGCTCCCAGGCTGTTGGACGCCACGCAGGTGTAACGTCCCGTGTCGTCCTCGAAGGCTTCGGTGATCACCAGCGTGTGAAGGTCGCCTTCCCTCCAGATCTGAATGTCAGGGGAGTTCTGCAGCTCGCGGCCTTCACAGAACCACCTGCAGAACCAGCAACATTTTGATCTACGTGACTGACTGATTTCATTTATTACTAAAGAAAAATTGCAGTGGTGGTAAGGACTTTCTGCTTTCAGATTAAATCTTTTCAAAAGTGCAAATTGTTTCTTAAAGCTGCAGTATGTAACTTTTATAAAGAAATATGTATTTTTTTACATATTTGTTAATCAAATATGTAAGTATTTTATTATACTGTTGTAACAGTATAATGAGAGACAGATTATCTGTGAAAAAAATAAAACATTGAGCTCATCTTCCTCCTTCCTGAGAAACTATTGAGAAAAGCAGAGCCAATCAGAGCCAGGAGCCTTGTGACTGCGCTCCTAATGTCTCTCATATCATTTGTCTCGTATCATACTGTCACAGCATTGCAGCAGTTTCAACAAATATGTAAAACATATATATTTGTAAATAAAAGTTATATACTGCAGCTTTAAATAATTCAACTAAACTGACTTCTACTTTTCTACTCCAAATGTGATAGATGTCTCCTAATCAACTTCACATGAATACCTACCCAGTCACACATGCATATATACACCCCCCCCCCCCCCCCCCCCCCACACACACACACACACACACACACACACACACACACACACACACACACACACACACACACACACACGCACACACACACGCACACACCTGCTGGGCATGTATGAGCTTCCATATCTTCCGAAACCTCAGCCACCCCGAGGCGCTGACAAGCCGCTCTGTTACGGGAAGCAGGAACGCCCTCTTCCCTCTTTCCAATCAGAGCGCTGTGAGTCCTGAACAGCTCTCCCCGGGGAGCCGAGGAGCAGCCTTCGCTTCATCTTGGACTTGAGGTGGATCAGAGAGAGCCTCCAACTCCAGCAGCTTCGTCTGTTTCATCTCTCATCACAGGGTCAGGATTAAAGCAGGGCTCAAAGTCAGTGCCACCACATCAAGCCCAAGATCAAACCGTGATGATCCACTCAACTATTTCCTTGTATGCATTAGTTCTCCGAGACCACATTCTGAGACTTTGATCCATAGCAACGTCTTAATCTATTTAAAAGTGTCTTTCAAGCATTCAAAGCATCGACGCTCCACTGACACACCACTAAGAGCGTTGGCACGCCGCTGAATGATAAGCGATATAAATTCCCTTTCACCTCTTGGCCTGCGAGTCGTCAGAGGGAGGCGCAGGAATTCCCAAAACGCCAGAAGAACAGCTGTTTCGCACACCCAGAGCCATGACCTGAAGGCATTCCTGCTGTCTCAGAGAGCTGCATAACAATTCCCAACAAACCACCGCATGGCCGTAATTTCACTTTTCACAACCCGATGTGTCAGTTGTACGGCCCGCTGATTCGTCTTCCAGACAGCAATCAATCAGTTCGCGCATCCAGACAATAGTTCATAGTTGGTGAATTTACGACTGAGCTGACTGATGTGGGCGGAAGCTGCGATATGGAAAAGTGAATGAAAGAGCATGAGTAAGGAAAAGTGAGACATAAAAAATGATGATTGGTGAGAAACCGCGGACAAAGTGATAGGAGACAGGAGTGCACACACCTTTTCACATCACTGACAAAATATTACTATAATTCAATATAATACTCAAAGTAGTGTATAAATGCATTTTTTAAATATATTTTTGCAAATAAATATTTAAATCTTATCCAAATAAAACTCCCCCTGCTCTGCAGCTCATTTGCAAAACAAACGTCTGTCTGCTCTTTTTTGCAAAATAGCTCAAATTCAATCAGACTTGATGAAGAGCATCTTTAAACAGATTTTTTTTTGCAGATTGTCGATTGGATTCTGTTCTTTGCTTTTGTTGCTCTCACTGAACCCAGATTGCAAGATCTGGGTTCAGTGATCAAGTCAAACCTGAACTTTCAGAAACACAGAGACATTGACAAAGTCGACCTACTATCACCTGAAGAACATTTTAAGGATTTCCAACAAGATCTACAGAAACTCACGTATGCTGGTCAAAAAATAAATAAATAATCAATCCTCCAGCTGCAGCTGATCCAAAGAGCTGCTAGTGTTCTCACTAAAACCAGGAAGATAGAGCACATCACCCCGTTCTTAAGTCCTTCCTCTGGCTCCCTGTAACCCGCATAATAGACTTTTAAATATTGTTGTTAGTTTCTAAATTATTAAACACCTTGGCACCAAAATACATAAAAGAGCTGTTGTTCTGCTCTGCATCCCCAGAATCAAACATGGAGAAGCAGCATTCAGCTTCTCTGCACCGGAAAACTGCAAAACAGCTGAAACACTGAGTTCTTTTAAATCCAGAACAAGGCAGAGGGCATCACAACCTGTTTAGAGTTGCTTTTGAAGCATAACAAATGGAATATTGATCAATATTTTATATTGATGATATTGATTATGGCATTTGACAATATTATTGCTTGTTTAATAATTCATGATTACTGTGTTACGTTTTTATTATGTGTATCACTTTGAGCTGCTTGTTGGTGAAATGTGCTATTCAAACAAACGTGATTTGACTAGGCCATGCTAACACAGGATGATTTGATGTAAACCACTCCAACGTAACTCTGGCTCTCCATTTAGGGTCATTTTTCTGCTTCAAGGTGAAAGTCAGCTTTAAGGCCACTGCAACATCAAACAGATTTTATTTTTCTTTGATTAGCTCCACCCATCTTCTCATCAACTCTGACCAGCTTCCTGGCCTCCTGCTAAAGGAAAATACGATGCTGCCACCACCATATTCCACGTTACAGGGGCTTGCGTGATCAGGGTGATGTGCAAAATTTGTTTTCTTTCACATTTAAGGTTTTGTTTGTGGTCATTTTGCTTTTCTCCTTAAGTGAACTGTTTAGCGCGCAGGTAGCTAATGTGATGTGTCACTTATCATTTATTATGATGTCTTGTGAGTCGGAGAGCGTACAGTGATATGACAACAATGTGCAACACGACATTATAAGATGACTCACTTCAAATTCTGCTTCCTAATTAAGACCAGCCCATGGCTGACAGTGAAATAGAGTTTTTTTTTCCCCTACCAAACAATATCCCTGTGTGGTTTTTAAATCCATTTTCCAGGATTACATGCAGCTGGGGAAAAGTGAAAACAACGTGCTTGCGTGACTCTTGTGTCTGCTGGGGCTTAACTCCTGAAAGCCAGGTTGTTTAGGTTAATTAAATCTTTCTACAGTCTGCGAGTAATATTAAGAAATTGTCAGCTATGGTCTTTGCAACACATTCAAAGGGTGCGAAGAAGCTTATTTAATATAAATCCTCTAAAATTGTGTTTTAAGTTGCACTAAAAACAGGCAGGGTTTGATGCGTCATTCAAACCGTAAGTAAAGTCTGATGGAGTTACTGGGGATCAGAGGGCATTACAGGCAGAGGGAGGTGGTTGCTCAGACCGGTATGATTCTTTGCTCTAAATCAACCCAGACATGAAATCTGCCTCATAAAAGTTTGAAGTCCTGTCAACTTTTTCACATTAGACCAGCAAAATTTAATGCATTTTACACTGAAGTGTATTATGTTAATGATGTGTTCAGCATATATAATGCTAAGGAGTATTTTTCATTTACAGGGACATTTACAGGCTGGTCAGAGTCGATGGGAAAATAGATTAAGCTAAAAACAGGGCAATCCAGGATGAAAACCGGTTAGAGGCAGCAAATGGTTTGACAATGACAGAGCGAGCGAGAGAGAGAGAGAGAAAGAGAGAGAGAGAGAGACAGAGAGAGAGAGACAGAGAGAGAGAGAGACAGAGATAAAGAGAGAGAGAGAGACAGACAGAGACAGAGAGAGAGAGAGAGAGAGAGACAGAGAGAGAGAGACAGAGAGAGAGAGAGACAGAGAGAGAGAGACAGAGAGAGAGAGAGAGACAGAGACAAAGAGAGAGAGAGAGACAGACAGAGACAGAGAGAGAGAGAGAGAGAGAGACAGAGACAGAGAGAGAGAGAGAGAGAGAGAGAGACTACACAGAAGGACAACGACCCTAAAGGTACAACCTGACCGGCAACGCAAGGATTTAGATTAAAGTAATCTCATGTGGTAACAAAGTCCAGGCCCGAACAGAAAAGCATAAGATCAGGGATTCTGTAGCTAAGTTTGAAAATTGCCGTTCACACACTCTTCCTCTAATCTAGCTGAGTTTAAGCTGTTTTGCAAATAAGACCGGGCAAGAATCTCAGTCTCTGAAAGTGCAAAGCATGTGGAGACACAATCCAAACGACTTCAAGCTTACAGCCAAACACTTTCGACAGCGTGTTGATTTGGGCGGGGCGAACCCAAATGCACGTCTGAAACTGTAATGTACATTAGAGAAGTGAATGGAAACATATAACTTTTGTTGCTCTCAAAGCAACAAAAAACATGGGACAGCTGACAATAAAATGGGACACACAAACTACTTTCAACAAAAACAGTAAAAACCCTCATTAATAAACCTTAATTATGTGCAATTATGCATAATTACTGTATAAACTCATTTAAAGCCATTTGGTAATGTTTATTTAATCCCCTCTCTGTTTCTCTGGAATGTGCTGAACATAACAGGCCTAAACAGGATGCTGCTGCGCTCTCTCCAGCGAGGGAACCGAGACCTTCTCCTGTCAGACACGGAGCAGAAGGCACAAGAAGGAATCTGACCATCGGTAGACTCCTTTTCAGCAGGGTGTGGTCGAGACAAAGCCGTCAGCGCCCTGAGAAAACGGGCTGAAGGTAGACATTTCTTGGCAGAGTGCGGCTTCACCACCCACTTCCCCTCAACACAATGCCGTTACAAAACCCAACTATTCGGAGCATGCACGCGAATGAGCTCAAAGTCTTTATGAGTAACACCTCAACTCCCCATTCATCCCACCCAAAAGGCAATCGGCCACCAAGGTGATTATACATCCCACCATCAGCATCAAACAGCCTCCCACTGTGCTCTCTGAACAATAAGCTCATGTTGGAAAGTAGCTTACACAACTTGGTTAAGTCCGAAGCCTGAGGTAGAACTGTGAGATGCT